GACAGGTTTCAGAAGTCTCTTCAGTGGCCCATCTACTTTATGTGGATCAATTACTGTTTCTGATGGGTCACTGAGCCGTAGCTCAGTTGGTCTACAGTTCTTTGTGGTGTGCTGATGAGTTAAAATGGAATGACATCAATGATTTATTGGAGTTTTGTGCTGCATTGCGCTTCTTCCTAATTATATTTCATTTACTATTTCAAGTATGAATTTGAGCATGGGTCACTTTGTGGCCCATCTACTTTATGTGGACCAGTTACTATTTTTGATGGGTCACTTGAGCAGTAGTTTAGTTGGTCTACAGATCTTTCTGGTGTGCTGATGAGTTAAAATGGAATAAGATAATGATTTATTGGAGTTTTATGCTTTGTTGCCTTTGTTCCTGATTATGTTTTACTTTTTGAGGTATGAATTTGAGAATGGCAGATGATGTTTATGGTGGATAACTGTTGGATGGCACTGCCTTATATCATAATAAATTATGGATGAAAAATAATGATATTGCTAATTCTTGGTAGCCTGTAGTTCTGAAAAAGTTTGGATTTATTTTAATTTTCTTGCATATTTTTATTGTTATTTGTGAAAAGTGAGTGATGTTGTAAAAATTAAAATTGTTGGTATCATTATCTTGCCTCTACTTTTTTGGGGCACGTCATGTATATGATGGAGGATTTTGGATATGTCAAAGATAGTATTACCGAACTGTAAATAATTTTTGTAAATGGGTTGCACCCCGTTGGCGCTTTAGCAAAATTATACTGTTCATACTTTTTATTTTGAAAAAAAAAAAATTATTTGTGAAAAGTGAGTGTCTTGGAGTCATCATAATGCTTGAATTTGTGGTTATCCTAGCATCTCTGTGCAAGTGAAACTCCCAGTCTTTTGTAGTGTAATATTCAGAAATGTAAATCCATGAGGCTTGAAAAAATGGATCTGCATGTGGTATATAAACAAAATGCTGGTGTTCTATCCTTTCAAGATTAATAAGTAGAGTGTATAGTTGGAGGTTTTTGCTTTCATTAATGTGATATGTCAGAGGGCCCATAGGTACACACTACACTATTTCGATGCTACAGAAATGTAAAGTTATTCGTTTATCTTTTTCATATGGCTACTCAACCATGTAAGGTTTGACTTTCTTGGGTACCAAATTAGGTAGGTGGTGGCTTCCGGATGGATTTCTATATTGTTCAAGGGAATTGCAATTTAGTTAAGTTCATAATTTAGTTAAGATCTGGGGAGGGACATAATTGTACTAATCATTGGTTAGTGTTCTTACTACTAAGTAATATATTTCTGTGTCCATTTAGTACTTTGTTTAGATCTGCTAAACAATGTTTGGATAAAAATTAGTAATGGAACAGAGCAGAAAAGAAGGAAAAAGAAATAGTGCTCTTTTGAAGGAAAGGAAGCTGCAAATATTTCCCCTTATATAGATAACTAAAAATTAAAGAAAAAAGGGTAAGTGATAAGAATGACTACTGTAGTATTTTGTTCCTTTAACATTGTAAAATGAAATCATTAATCATTAGAAAATAGTTAATAATGTTATTTATTTATAGAATTAATTAAATTACGACTTAGGCACTTAAGGATAAAATCAAAAATTTACCTTTAAAGTTTTAACTCTTCCTCTCCCCTTGTTTCTCCTCAATTTGGAGAAATGAAAACATTACAATTTTAAACTGCTATCGACTCTTTTCCGTTGGGTAAAACATCTTGTTTTTTTGTTTGGCTGTCGATTAGCCGAGTCATGGATTTATATTCTATGTGCTTTTGGCTTTCGGTTACCAGAAAAGGGACCTTCGCCCAATTATATGTCTTCTGGTTTACAAAGGGTCAACCTCTAGGGTTTTACAGTTCATGGCCTGTGTTCACTCAAGCATCATATGCTGGTGTGGTATGCAACATGGAGGGTACGCCCTGGGGTGAAGTTCTTTGATTAAGCTCTACTGGGCGATGAAATTGTCATCACGGATCCATCAATTTCTTTCTTTTTCTTATTTTTCAAAGGAAATTGACTTTTATACCTTATTAAAGTAGTTGTTGATCCCCAGCCAATGCCATCCGAGAGTCTTCCAAAACTCTCTGCCATCTGATGCGGGCCACCTTTTGTAAAGCAGGAAAGAGTGTGCGCATGGTTTGCGTTTATAAGGGAAAAAGAAGAATGCCCGTTATCTCTTCTTTCCTTTACCAATTTTTACTTTTTCCCCCCAAATAAGTGAAAGGGTACTGATTGTCCCATTCTGGTCACTTTCCTTAATCCAAACATATTGTTAAGTACAGATGTCTTTTTCCTTTCCCAAATAGTGGACCTTATTCATTTTGATTTTTGTGTTTATATAATCAGAGTTAAATTGAGTTTGATCAGTGTGGTAATTTTATCAGACTTGCTCATGCTCTCTTTGATACCGGATTTAGCATTTTATAAATGTAGTTTATTCTTTTTAATTGCCTTCAAGGAAATAAGAGAAAGATGGAAACATGACCAGTCATTGTTGTTTTCTTTTATCGAAAGTGATTTTATTATTGTTATCATTGTCAATTATTATTATTATTATTATTATTTGTTACATTTTTTACTTTGTTCTATTCTGCTGATGAAGGCATTGTATACATTTGTGGTGAAACAGGTTTTTAGGTGCTATCAAGCAATATTTGTGCCTATCCTTGTTGAAGAACAGTGCTTCTGCTCTTATGATTGTTTTCCAGCTTTCTTGCTCCATTTTTATTAGTCTGGTATCGAGATTTCGAGCTGGATTAAAAGCAGAGATTGGCGTCTTTTTCCCTATGATTGTTCTTAGAGTCTTGGAAAACGTTGCTCAACCTAATTTTCAACAGAAGATGATAGTGCTTCGGTTTTTAGAGAAGCTTTGTGTTGATTCACAAATCTTAGTTGATATCTTTATTAACTATGATTGTGATGTCAATTCATCAAATATATTTGAGAGGTATCTTCTCTTCTATCCCATGGATTCATCTTTTGCTAGTCTATCAAGCAAAGGCATTGTGAATGACAAGAGCTTTTGATTTGGTAGTTCTCATCATAATGTTGCATTTACGTATTAGTGGTTGCAACGCAATTCAGTCAATTAAATGCTAATACATTTCTATTTAATTATCATTATTCTTTTCAGAATGGTCAATGGTCTCCTTAAAACCGCTCAAGGTGTCCCTCCTGGTACAGCTACTACATTGTTGCCTCCTCAGGAAGCAACCATGAAGCTTGAAGCCATGAAGTGTTTGGTGGCTGTTTTGAGATCAATGGGAGACTGGATGAACAAGCAGTTGCGCATTCCAGATCCTCATTCTACAAAGAAACTTGAAGCAGATGAGAACAATCCTGAACCTGGGACTCTTCCCTTAGCAAATGGGAATGGAGATGACTCTGTGGAAGCATCAGATTCCCATTCTGAAGCCTCCGGTGAAAGTTCTGATGCTTTGACAATTGAGCAACGCCGGGCTTACAAGCTTGAGCTTCAGGTAAGTTTATACATAAAAAGAATGTTGAATAATGCCGGTTTTTCTTCTGGCTGGTTTTCACCTTCATATTCCCATGAAATCTAATTTATAATTATGGCAGGAAGGTATATCTCTTTTTAATCGGAAACCTAAGAAAGGAATCGAATTCCTAATCAATGCAAACAAGGTGGGCAATTCACCAGAGGAGATAGCAGCTTTTCTCAAAAATGCATCTGGTTTGAACAAAACTTTGATCGGTGATTATCTAGGAGAAAGAGAAGATGTATCACTGAAAGTGATGCATGCCTATGTGGACTCTTTTGACTTTCAAGGCTTGGAGTTTGATGAGGCAATCCGGATCTTTCTTCAAGGATTTAGATTGCCTGGTGAGGCACAAAAGATTGATCGAATCATGGAAAAGTTTGCTGAGCGTTACTGCAAATGTAATCCTAAGGCTTTTATTAGTGCAGACACTGCATATGTTCTTGCTTATTCTGTCATTATGCTCAATACTGATGCCCATAATCCCATGGTTAAGAACAAGGTGTGTTAAATTACTTGTTTAAGTAACCTACATGTTTTCCCTGTGAAAAGTTTCATTTGACACATGCTATGTTGTTAAGGCTCTCATTTTTTTTTTCTGTGCCATTAAAATTTGTAGATGTCAGCTGACGACTTCATTAGAAACAACCGTGGGATAGATGATGGAAAAGATTTACCTGAGGATTACCTAAGATCATTGTTTGATCGTATAGCAAGAAATGAGATTAAAATGAAGGAGGATGATTTGGCTCCCCAACAAAGGCAATCATTGAGCTCAAACAGAATATTAGGCTTGGATAGTATCTTGAATATTGTGATTCGTAAGCGGGGTGAAGATGCGCATATGGAGACCAGCGATGATCTTATCAGGCACATGCAAGAACAATTTAAAGAAAAGGCTCGCAAATCCGAGTAAGATCAACTGGCTTTTCCCATTCTCCAGAAAATTGGTGCTTTTCCATGTGAACTTATATCTAAAATTCGTTTAGAGGAATGCATCTATGTCTAAACTACGGTATTTGAGGTTCTTTTCATTTTCAGTTTCTACCATGTGACCTCTGTAGCTGAAATTGGACTATGCTTATCGAGTATTAAAAAAAGATAACATAGACAAAAGGCATGGGCACCAAAAATTAAGTACAGAAGCAACCAAGAAGCAAAATTTACAAAGTAGGGCTGCCTAAAATGTCTAGAATGTTCTCAAGATCTTCTCCTAAATAAAGAGGATACTTTGAACAAAATACATAAGATCTGGAACTATCTGTCTCTAATCCTATAAAAATTAGATACAAGACCATCAAACACTCTTCTATGAGTTCTAATGGCAAAGAATATCTGGGGAAGAGGGCAATCGGCTTCTTTTTGTTCTTTCTTTCTTTTTTTTTTTTTTTGAAAGAAAGCTTCTTCTGGTTCTTGTTAACCCAGATACCATCCCAAACGAGAAATTCAGAAGAATTAGATCCACTCATGACCCAACTTATGCCTATCAGGCTAGTAACCGAGTCCCATAATATTCTCCTCTTCATATGTTGGGAGTCCTGGGATTTGAAGTAGCTTTTCTTTATTTCAAAAAAAATAATATTCTCCTCTTCAAGCACCATAAGAGAAGCTGTTTGCAGGGATTATGTTTTCCTATATTTCATGTATTAAATATGTATATTTAGACAAAAATTTTAAGTTTTTCTTGATTCTGAGTAGCTTCGTATTTTGTAGGTCAGTTTACTATGCAGCAACAGATGTTGTTATACTCAGATTCATGATTGAGGTCTGTTGGGCCCCTATGTTGGCTGCCTTCAGTGTGCCACTTGATCAAAGTGATGATGAAGTGGTGATATCCCTGTGCCTTGAAGGTTTCCAGTGTGCCATCCATGTTACATCTGTAATGTCCATGAAGACTCATAGAGATGCTTTTGTGACCTCGTTAGCAAAGTTCACTTCCCTCCACTCTCCTGCTGATATCAAGCAGAAAAACATAGATGCCATTAAGGTTAGTCTTTTTGTTTTTTTTTTCCAATCATATTTGTCATATACCTTAATACATTGGTTGCAGTCCTGTTTTAGCTTTACCCTTTTGTTTTAGAAATTTTAAGTTTATAACTCATATATGCATGGGAATTAGCTCAAGTCCAATGGGAGTTTAAGGGACATGCATGTGTTGTGAGACAGATCCACATTATTATTTTTAATTATGAAATGAGTAGCTTAACATGCCTAACCTGAGCTCTTCTATAATGTGGCTCAAGTGTTAGAACTGAGAGCAGGGTGGACAGCACTTGGTATTTTTTCTGCCCCCTTAGTTTCAGGATTATGGTGATTTAACAGAGATCCACCCAGATTTATACTGCTCGACTTCAATAGGAAGAATATTTAAGAAGTAATCAACACTTTCATGATGCTTTCTCTCTCTCTCTCTCTCTCTCTCTCTCTCTCTCTCTCTCTTTAAATTGTTGTTAGTGGATTCATGTGCATCAAAAGGTTATACTTTTTTTACAGCTTTTTGTTTTTCACCATAATTCATTGTTTCCCTCCCTGAAAAGCTAGTTATAACTTTTGATTGAACTAACATTTTTTTGGTATTTATACTGTTAACAGGCAATAGTTAAACTTGCAGATGAAGAGGGTAACTATTTACAAGAAGCTTGGGAGCATATTCTGACATGTGTTTCCCGGTTTGAGCATCTTCATCTTTTGGGTGAAGGTGCTCCTCCAGATGCTACTTTCTTTGCCTTTCCTCAGACCGAGTCAGAAAAATCAAAACAATCTAAATCAATGGTTCTTCCAGTTCTAAAAAAGAAGGGACCTGGGAGGATTCAGTATGCAGCTGCTGCTGTGATGAGGGGTTCATATGATAGTGCTGGTATTGGGGGAAATGCTTCTGGGGTGGTTACATCTGAGCAGATGAACAACTTAGTTTCAAACTTAAACATGTTAGAACAAGTTGGTGAAATGAATCGCATATTTACTAGGAGTCAGAAATTAAACAGTGAAGCAATAGTAGACTTTGTTAGAGCTCTCTGCAAGGTTTCAATGGAGGAATTGCGATCTCCATCTGATCCACGGTGTTTCAGCCTAACAAAGATTGTGAGATTGCGTAAGAATCTTCCTGTTTTCTTTTTCTCCTAATATATTGGGATAACTTGTTATTTTCATGATCCCTTAGTCATTATGGCATCATAATGTTTTCCTTTAAATGACAGACACTATAACATGAATCGCATAAGGCTTGTGTGGACAAGCATCTGGCACGTTCTCTCAGATTTCTTTGTGACTATTGGTTGTTCTGAAAACCTTTCAATTGCAATATTTGCAATGGATTCTTTACGGCAGTTATCAATGAAATTCTTGGAGCGAGAGGAGTTGGCTAATTATAACTTTCAGAATGAGTTTATGAAGCCTTTTGTCATTGTAATGCGTAAGAGTAGTGCAGTTGAGATCAGAGAATTGATTATTAGATGTGTCTCTCAGATGGTTTTATCTCGGGTCAACAATGTCAAGTCAGGATGGAAGAGCATGTTCATGGTATTATATCTTCAAAATCTCATATTACTATTTCTGAAAGAACTATTTTATTGATAGATTTGATGTTAGACCTGTATGTTTGGTTATTTGATATCTAGATGAATTATACAACTTCAATAACTTTTCAGTAACTGATCATTGCCAATTACCTTTTCCTAGGTCTTCACTACAGCAGCTTATGATGATCATAAAAATATTGTGCTATTGGCCTTTGAAATAATTGAGAAGATTATCAGAGACTACTTCCCGTACATCACAGAGACTGAAACAACTACTTTCACAGATTGTGTAAATTGCCTAATAGCATTCACCAATAGTAGATTCAACAAAGACATTAGCCTCAATGCCATTGCTTTTCTTCGCTTTTGTGCCACAAAACTTGCAGAAGGGGATCTTGGCTCCTCATCAAGGAATAAGGACAAAGAAGCTTCTGTAAAGAATCCTCCATCTCCTCAAGGAGGAAAAAGTGGAAAACTCGATAATGGAGAGCTTGTGGATAAGGATGACCATCTATATTTCTGGTTCCCTCTGTTAGCTGGTAAGCAAATTCCATTAGCTTGTTATCAATTGTCTGTTTATAGTTGATACATTTCTGAACTTGCTTGTCTGCTTGTCGTATAGACATTATTTTCTTTCTGCAGTTAGCACTTTTCACATTTCTGAACATTGGGTCATGCTTCCTTTTTTCCTGTTCAGGCTTATCAGAGCTTAGCTTTGACCCTAGACCGGAAATCAGAAAGAGTGCATTGCAAGTTCTGTTTGATACTTTGCGGAACCATGGTCACCTCTTCTCACTGACTTTATGGGAGCGAGTGTTTGAGTCTGTTTTATTTCCTATATTTGACTATGTTCGACATGCTATTGACCCTTCTGGGGAGGACTCAGTGGAGCAAGGGAGCTATGGTGACACAGATGAACTTGATCAAGATGCGTGGCTCTATGAGACATGCACGTTGGCCCTGCAACTGGTTGTTGATCTCTTTGTTAAGTTTTATAGCACTGTCAATCCACTTTTGAAGAAGGTGCTGACTCTACTTGTAAGTTTCATTAAGCGTCCTCATCAGAGTCTTGCTGGTATAGGGATTGCTGCATTTGTTCGTTTGATGAGCAATGCTGGTGATTTGTTTTCCGAGGAGAAGTGGCTAGAAGTGGTCTCCTCGTTAAAAGAAGCCGCTAATGCCACATGTCCAGATTTCTCTTATATTCTTGGTGGCGATGACATAAGTAGAAGTGTTTTGAATGAACAAAATATTGGAGAGCCTGTTGGTTCTGGTGCACTAGATGATGATTCGGAGAGCTTGAGGGCACAGCATGTTTATGCTTCCATATCTGATGCAAAATGCAGAGCTGCAGTTCAACTTTTGTTAATTCAGGTAATCTTTTATTTCAAAACTCTGAAGCTAGTAGAGAAATTTTGGTGTATGAGTAAGCCAATATAAAGATATTAGCTATTGGAGGCCCTGTGTTGGCACATTTTGGCCTGATACCCTGTTATTAGAGAGACGAACAAAGTACAAATTTAGAGGATAACAATCCTTCTAAGCCAATAAATGGCAAAATAAGGATTGTTTTCCATGTCTATAAATGCAGTATTGATAAATGGATGTTTTGATATGCTTATTGTAGTATCAATTTAGACATGTCTGTCGTTTTTCTTTTTCCTATTTCCTCATGAGTTATGGGGAAATGACGGGAGGTGGTAATTGTGATTAGAAGTGTTATGGATTATACTGTTTTGTTCTTCTGGATATTGGTTGTGAGAATTTCTCATTAAAATTGCAGGCAGTGATGGAAATCTACAACATGTACCGGACTTATCTTTCATCAAAGAATACATTGGTACTCTTTGATGCTTTGCATGATGTGGCATCACATGCTCACAAGGTCAACAGTAACATTATATTACGATCAAAGCTTCAGGAATTAGGTTCCATGACCCAAATGCAAGACCCTCCACTACTTCGCCTTGAAAACGAGTCTTATCAAATCTGTCTCACATTCTTAAGGAATCTTATATTAGATGGGTCTCACAATTACGAAGAGGACGAAGTGGAGCCCTGCCTTATTGATCTTTGCCAGGAAGTGTTACGGTTATACATTGAAACATCTAGCTCTGGACGAGTATCTGAATCATCTCCAAATGGGCAAAAATCCAATTGGCGGATTCCATTGGGTTCTGGAAAACGAAGGGAACTGGCTTCGCGAGCACCTCTAGTTGTTGCAACCCTCCAGGCTATTTGTAGTTTGGGAGATACCTCATTTGAGAAGAACGTAGCTCACTTCTTCCCTCTTCTAGCAAGCTTGATTAGTTGTGAACATGGGTCAAATGAGGTCCAGTTGGCTCTCAGCGAGATGCTAAGCATGTCAGTGGGTCCTGTACTGCTCCGATCATGTTGATCCTAGATATTGGTAAGATTGGTCTCCACATTTTAGATGTATGATATTCCTTTTGTCTGACTCTTTTAATTATCCGTTTCCTTTTTAATTATAATATTTTTTACGGTAAGTATAGATTCATAGTGTACGAAGAGTCTAGCTATGGTTTTGGATTCACTGTTGCTTCTGGGTGGTCGTTTATTCAGGAGTGCGGCTTATTTGTTCAGAATTTATAGGATGTCATCAGGAGTTTTTTGTTGTATGCTAGTCAAATGTTTCTCTGTTTTCTGAACAGCATTTTTTTTGTAGAAATTACACGTGAGGTGTGTAATCAGGACGTATGTAGTTTCTCTAAGATTTCATATTCTTTCTTAGCCTACAAGTACTAAATATCCATCATCCATAAGCTTCAGGAAAATGGTCCTTAATTAGCAAGTCTAGGCTATTTGCTATTTAATGCTTGAAGACTTTTAGCTAAATTTATATTGCTTCTGTGTAGTTTCCATGATTGACCCTCTAGTGAACCAGCGCCTTTATATCTTTAATTTTAATAATCCTTTTTACAAAATACGATTCTTTTACCCAGAAAGAAAACTTTGTTTCATTTGGACTTGCTAATCTTTAATGGGCTTGATTGGCACATTATGTTGATTAGCTTTATGAGGAATTACGTCCACTTCATGATGTTATCCTAAATGTATTGCATTATATTTATGCATGTATATATTCTCCACCAAAATCAAATAATTCTTCGTGTCGCATGTGTACATATATATATATATGTATGTAATGTTATTGATCAAGGATATTATATCTATCCCATGAATAATTTTGCATGTAATGTTAGAGAAACTAAATGAAAACGTTATCACTTTTAACTAACTATATAAAAACAACGAACTGTTAATCTTTTAACTATTAAATGTTCTTAGACTCTTACGTAATATTATTAATTTATTTTTTGGGTAAAATAATTAGAGCAATTATTTTCAAGTGTTTTATAGATTATTTTATAACGTGTAGTTTATTTTTATTGTAGTAAATAATAATAATAATAATAATAATAACAATAGAATAGATTTTCAAAAAATTATAATATGTTATTATAATAAAAAAATGTAATTTATTCTAAATAAATACCGTGCTATAATACAAGTACAATAAGAAGTATACTGAATTATCAATGATAAATTACTGTCTTGGAGTATCACCAATTAGGGTTTATGAAGAATTCATGGCCAAGTAGGTTAAAGTTCATCTTGGCAGTAGTATGAAAAAAGAAGAATCCTCTTGGAAGAAAGAAAACCCGAAAATTGAAACAGCAAAAGGAAAATGTAAATTTAGTTTTACGGTTAGTTTAAGGTGTCAATAAAAAGACCATAATTTGCCAATCGAGACAACTCATAATCCCCCCCCCCCCCCCTCCTGTTGCGGAGACTACAACGGAGATACAAAACAAAAATACTTAAAAAGACATGAAAAGGCCGGCACTTTTTACTAATTTTTCCTATTTCGCTGGATTCCACCCCAACGCGACTCAATCAAACACCTTACCTAAACCAGCTACAGTATATTTCTTCTGCGAATGCTAATTTTCTCCCTTTTTTTCAACCATTTTCCCACATAATCAGAGATTTCCTGTTGGAAAACTTGGAAACACAGATTGGAGAATCAGAAGAATGATTTCAGATCATAACTACCCTTTAACCTTTTCTTCTCTCTCTCTCTCTCTCTCTCTCTCTCTCTCTCTCTTACTACTAACTAATTAACCTTGTCTTCTCTCCTCATCGTCTTCTCCCCCCCTTCCTTCCTTTCTCACTGATTCTCAATCATGTTTGGTTGTTTCAGACCTTTGTCTTTGCACAGAAGGGTTAAAACCCTTCTCCTCCGACTAAAAACCCCGAGCAGAAACAAAACTTGGCTCTCTAAAATTAAGCACAAGCGGCTCTCTTCCAGTTTCGATTTGTTAACCTCTTCTTTCGCCACCATGGAAGTATCCAGCCAGTTTGAACAAGTATTCAAGGTCTTCGACGCGAATGGTGACGGCAAGATATCCGCGCTGGAGCTAACCGAAGTGCTTCTCTGCTTGGGCTACGAGAAATCAACGGCTGATGATGAAGCAAAAGCAATGATGAGAGAGGTGGACAGTAATGGAGATGGGTTCATCGATTTGAACGAATTTATGGTCGCCATGAACCCCGTTAATGGCAACTCCGTCAATGGCAACGGGAATGAATACGACCATCTGATGGATGCGTTTATGATTTTCGACGCCGATAAAAATGGACTCATATCTGCTGGTGAGTTGCGCCGGGTTCTGCTCAGTCTTGGATCCAAGAACTGCAGCATTTCAGAGTGCAAGAAGATGATAAAGGGGGTCGACAGGGACGGCGATGGATTCGTGGATTTCGAAGAGTTTCGATCAATGATGAGAGCCAGAAAGTAGCTCCTGAAAAATTGTTGTGAATAGATTGATTAATTAATTAATCAGCCGGGGCTGTAACAACAGATTAAAGCCGTGAAAAGTTTATTATCAAATCCAGTTCGGGTACGAAAATCATTTTCCAATTACTGGAGACAGATGAAGATGATGATGAATGTAAATTTGATCTGATCAAGTAGCTCCATCATATCTACATATATACTTTTGAGTAAGAAGGTTTGAATATTATACCCACAAAAATCTGTAAGTTCTAAATAAATTGAAAAAATGTGATTAGCTCATTTTAAATTTTTTAAGAAAAAACTTAGGTAAAAAGATCGATTGACTTATTGTTGTAAAGTTTCATTTTTTTTTTTTTTTGGGTGTATAAACAAAATATTTGGAGTTATTCTTTTTGAATTTCTTATGTATGTACTTTCACATCAATGCCCATAAAGCACATTCTGGATCTTCTTTATTCCCGGCTAGGCACCAAAAGAATATTGTGAAAGCAGCCCTGCTGCCATGGCATGGCCAGTCCTTGGAGGGTTCTCAAAATTCTCTGTAATGTTCTGATTAAATAAGGTTTATCACTTTTAAGATTGTTGATAGGAGAATATAATTTTAACGTTATTGCAAAAAAAGTATTTTTAAGTTATTTGAGACTAAATTTTCTTTTATATATCTATATATATATATATATTATTTTTTAAAGTTTGTCGAGACTAAACCTCTTTGATTTGGCTAAAAATTTTTAAGAATTTTTTTTCAATAGTTTTATAAATTATCAAATTAGTTTTTAGAATCTGATATTTAATTATGATTTATTCTATAATAGTTTCTTGTAATTTAGTCCTTAATATGTTTTTTTTTTTTTTATTCATTTCAAATGTTAATTTTCTTTAATTTTAATGAAAAAACTGAAATAAATAGATTATAATTTTGATTTTTTATTATTATTAATTTATAATTAAATTTATTTTTTAAAATATGCAAATTCGACTTAATCATTTTAATTTTGTTAATTAATTAATATAAATATTTAAAACAAATACATAATGTGTAAAAGATAAATTTGAAAAATAAACATTTATTAAAGTATTAATAACAATGTAATAGTACCAAATTAATGTGTAAAAGATATAATTCATAAATAAATAAAAGAATTAGCTCTACATTCTCCTGTTTGAGTAAGATAAGTTTGTTATGGCGACAAGCAAATTTTGAAGAACTGTTTGAACACGTTGACAAGATAAGATCTCGTACATGTTTTTTTTTTTTTGGCATCGTTGAATTGATGTTTTATGTTCCCACTCTACATATACGTATACATATACATATAGGTTACAAATGCATGCATATATATATATATATATATATATACGAAAACGACTTGTGAAAATCTCACTCAAAAAGTAATTCAATGCTAGTGTCTTTATGCATGCAACAAACGCCAAAACAATAATTACTACTACCAAAAAAAACAAAAATGAAAATGATGCATCTTGATCCCTTCAATACAATAATACAAAATATATATTTATTTCACCATGTGAATGTTAATGTCTATACATACATATCAAAATCTTATCCAAATGCCATGTGAATTTCTGAAATTTATTACTTCCAAAATGTTTTTTTTTTTTTTTTTTTTTTTTTAAAAAAAGGTTAAATGCGTGATTACCCAAATTTATTTGGATCAATTTTTGCTTTTGTTTTTTACATCAAATTTTAAGAATGAAAAGAAACAAATTCAATTTAAGACCAACCCATTGTTGGCCCAACCTTTTTGAGCCCAGCCCACTGTCTTAACGACGCCGTTTCATGTTATATTAGCCGAAAGAGAGAAAAGAAAGAAGCTCCCTAGAATATTTTCTAGTTAAATATTTGTAGAGAATAAAAAATTAGACAAACTGTGATACGTGATGTGGGCTGCTCGGAACTCATGGGCCCAAACGGGAGCCCAATTAGGGAAATGGGCCTATTTATATTCAAGTCAAACACGATCCGACTTTCCATTATAATTCACCCGACCCGACTTCCAATAAACTTTCAAAAGGCATGAAAGATCAAGACTGGCAGTTTTTAATTTCCTGATACGATGCGGTTGCATCCTTAAAAACTAATTAAAGTAGAAAATAAATGTTGATATTCTAAACTTAATTAGTAATATGTATGCATGTATGTATGTATGTATGTATGTATGTATGTATGGAATTAGTCGAGTAGGAAGTGGATACGGTACAATATAATTTCTGATTCACACCTTAAATATTGAAAAGCAGCCAACGATTAGTAATATTTTATGGGCCGCACACACACGTTTATATATTATTGTAACAAAAAAAAAAAATTAATGACGGGTTTGAGGATAAAACAGCAAAAAGAATTCAACTGTCACAAGCACAAGTATGTGTATGTATATATATATATATATATATATATAAGGATATATATTTTTAATTTGATAGTTATTTTTCTACGTACTTTTCTTGAGACAAAATCATTCTCAGCTTGGATTTGCTTTCTTAATTAATATTGTAAAGGGCATGATCTACACCCCCGAATCGTGTATATATATTTTATAAAACATTTTTAAGTGAAATAATATGACACGTTTTAAAAGTATTTTTCATTACATTACATAAGTAGTAATTATATAACAACATATATGCGTGTATTACATTAACTTGTTTATTAATAAATATAATTAATAATATGAAACCCAAGTTGTCAACACTTTCCAATATTTTAGCAAGGGGGTAAGCCATAGCTTTATGTATATATATATATATGTGTGTGTTACGGTTTATACCGGTATCTTTGTAAAGCTATATAAGTTTTAGAAGCCAAAGAAAATGAAAAAAATAAATAAATTAAATTGCCCTTTTTCAATTAAAAGGTCAAATGTTTATATATTTATATATACATATTATACACACTCCGAATATATTACATATATATGTATGTAACTTTAGGAATTATTATAAATAACTTTGGCATATAGGTGTAGGTTGTCTTTTTTAAAAAAACAAATTCTTATATACAACATAATTAAATAAATATTGAGTTAGGCATATCTTTTTATAATTAAAATAAATAATTAAGACATAAAAAATTTTAACTTTTTCCAAGGCTCGTAGATCTCTAAAACTAATTGTTATTATCTAAGAGTTGATTACAAGATTGTGGCACAAGGTTCCTAGCTATATCAATGATCACCCACTTCCCGTAGATCAGGAACTTAATTATATATATATATATATATATATATGTATATATGGTGTTTAATTAGATAATTATAAATATTGGATAATCAAACTGTACTTGGCATTGTGTGTTAATTATATAAAAGCTTAATGTTTAGAGAGGATAATATTGTTTTTATACAAAGTTTGGTAACTTAAGAATTCCAAAGCAACATCCCCAAGTCCAAGTGTTCTACTAATAAACTATTTTAATGTGATCTCAAACACCTTGTAAGGATAATATATATATATATATATATTTGCTTAAATACACACACTTAATTGGAGTTATGGATTATTAAATAGGATAAATTAGAATGGCTTACTAGTAATCTGACTAATTAATTTATATAACATTTGAATAAGTGAGTAAATGTGTGAATAGAACATTTTTGTTATAGATTAATTTCAATGTAAAGCTTGAAAAATCTATGATTTTAATTTAGAAAAGAACTAAGTACAATTCTGTGTTTCGTGATTTGGCTTTACCAATTTTAATTTACGTACTTTTTAATAATATATTAATACTTATGATTTCACGAATAGTAATTTTATATAATATTATTAATATTTTTGAGACATCTAATGCGATTTGTTTATAAAAGTGTTGGCTTTGAAATTAACATTTTATATAAAACAAAATACCTACAATATTATTTTTTTAACTAAAATGATATAAACTCGAAATATTATTTAAATTTAAATAAAATAAAACCAAAGAAAATAAAATTTTATTTTTTTCACAAATAATATATTAAATCATTTTATATTAACTTTTTTATATTACTATATAAATAACAAAAATGATCATCCTTACTATATCAGTTTATGTAATATATTGTATTTTGTAATACTTTGAGTATAACACCACTGCTTTAATAAGTTTTTAACCTAAACCACATGGTTTCAAAAGCTCAAACTTAAACTTTTTTTAAAACATAAATTCAAATTATTGATAATGTGCGACTTGAACCAGTACCTAAAGTTTAACAATACACTTCTTCCAAACTTGAGATTGATGAAGAACAATTTGATTATTGAAGTTCTTTAATTTCCTTATTGAAATTATATATATCAAAATCGAAAGGCTAAGATGACAACAACACCATTTATAACATTCTTAGCTTAAAAACTATTTGTCTAAACAAATTCTTTGACTTAAACTACATGTTCTCAAAACTCATGTTTAATTATTAGTGGTGACTTTATAAAGTCAACAATTACATATTTTTCTAAGATTTTTGCATCCTCGTATTTGACATCAAATAGTGTTATGAGAGAAAATATTGTATATACTTGTAATATAAAGATGTAAAAGCACTATCAGCTAGCATTTTAAAGTAATAAGCTCAGCTTATGACAAACTTGTAGTTTTATAAATAATATTATAGTTAATCTCATATGCACCATCATATTGCATTTATAGTTTAAATTAAATTTTGATTTTCCATTTGGCTCTATTTCTTTGTGATGGTAAGGACATGATTTATTTAATGGGGTTATTTTTTTAAACATGAGGTCCCTCACTACTATTGCCTTAAGGTAAAAGTATGATACATATTCTTAGCAAGTTCATTCATTATAATAATAATCACAAATTACAATTAAGATATTAATAAGATCCAAAATAATACCAACATAAAGATATTACGTTGGTACATACTCTAAATGTAATTTTATGCTTTAGGCCAAGCATTACTAGTTTTTAGAAGTAAACTATTATCTGTCAAAAGTTTAAATTGAAATTATTAATTATGTGTTACCTAATTTCTTACATATAACTCAACATTTATACTTCTTTTTAATTTGAATTTTAGGTATCACATATTATAAATGACAATACAAATACTCAAAATCATACTGGTATAGAGTCACTAGATGAATATATGTTTTAATACCATTTGAAGTACCTTAACACAAGTTCAATAATCTTTGAACCTAACAACTAGTTATTAAAAGTTTAAGCTCTAATTATTGGTTAAGTGATTTGAACCTTTAATTATGTAAAACTCAATATTTATATATCTTTATGATATTAAACTGAGGTATCATAAACATTCATTGTAGTCTCATTAAAGTGCTAGGATTTAGACAACACATAATAGTCTTAATGATTCATATAGATTAATCCAATTTAAAAATAAGTCAAAGCATTAATATGTTGGCGAACTACATATAATCAAATAAGTTAGTCGATGATCTCAATAGTTATTTGTCCAAATTAATTAACAAAAGAAATTTAGATACATTTCCTACATCAACTCAATGGT